TCCATTACACTGAAGAGTGGTGGGGAGAGGGATAAGAGGGAAAAAACTCTCCTATTCCCTCTGTGAGAGGTGCAAGTAGGTCTTGAATTCTTCTCCCATAGTCTGTGCTTTCTTCCTGATTAACTCACCAGGTTTAATTACCCTTCATTAAAATTCTCAGTCTGTTCCATTTGGTGGTATAAATGACTGGAGAAAAGGCACCAGAACAATCCATGTATAAGGGGAAATTTATTATCTTTTCTAATCCTCAGCCTCATTGTATGAAGCTTTCATATACAAATGGGTTGCACAAAGTTCAGCACCCTTATTTTCATCAATCATACTTGAGGACTCAGTGGATAGAAGGAGAGTTTCTTTGATTAACTCCCTAATTTATTTGGTTGTTTCAGTCATGTCCAGCTACGACTCCATTTGGGGTTTTGTTGCCAAAGATACTGGAGTGGCTTGCCATTTCTTACTCCAGTGCATTTTACAGATGAGGAAACTGAAGCAAACAGGGTTAAGTGACTTGCCCAGGGTCACACAGCTATTAAGTATCTGAGGCTACGTTTGAACCCAGGAAGATACGTCTTCCTGACTCCAGGTCCAGCACTCTATTCACTGCCCCAATCCCCTAATATACTAATACACTATTATTATTGGTTGGGTTGCCCAAAACTACCTTACCTCACAGGCATGGTGTTATGATAAGTCTTAAAGAAGCATTTGAATAGAACTTATTTTTATTATTTCTTCTGAACATACAGCTTGAACATATCAGAATAAGCAAGAACCTGTGGTAGTTTTTATTCTTCTGAATTTGATCAAGTAACTTTAGTAAAAAAAAAAAAAGAAGAAGAATAGAATAGATAACATGAATAAGTAACCAAGAACAGAATACATACAAGGTCGTTCATATAGTGGGACTTAATTGGATGTAGGCTCAATACTATGGAGTAACCCTAATCCTACTAAACTTCATCAGGTAACTGAGAAGCCCGGTCCCAAGCCAGCAGAGGCACTCAGGGAGCCACTCATCCATGAACCCTACCCTCCTTCCCCGAATTTCTGGCAGCTGCTCTCAGATTCTACGATGTTGTATTGAGTGTAATTATCCCTAGTTAAGTAACTGCACAAAAGTGACATCAAGTTCCAAGACCTATTCCAACCATAACTTCTGTTCAAGCCAACTGCTATGGAGGGAGGTCTCTGGTGACTCTGTCCTTGGCCCTGTCCTGGTCAATGTTTTTAATCAAGGCTTGAATGAAGACAAAGAAAGGATCCTCATCCAATTTGCAGATGAGTCAAGGCTGGAAGGGAGAACCAGGATGACAGAATCAGTTTTTAAAAAGATCTTGACAGGCTAAAAGTAAAAGCTGAAACCAATAGGATGAAATGCAGTAGAGACAAACACAAAGTTATGCCTTCAGGTTAAAGAAACAGTAGATTGAAAGATCACAAAAAGAAAGCTAACTTCCGATTAAGTAAAAAACTAATAATGATCCTGGAGCACAGGACATAAAACATATTCCCCTTTTCTTAGGAGAGCAGAAGAGGACTGACTATAGGAGCAAAATCATCAGGCATCACTTGTATTGGTTGTTTCTACTTGTTTTTCTCTTTAACTAGGGAGGTTTTGGTTTCAAGGTAGGAAAGGTGATAAAAGGTATAAATTACTGTGCTGTAAAAGCAAAGGAGAATAGAAAATAAACCTGTGATTTCTTTGGCATAGGGACCTCCTGCAAGAAGAAACACCCTCCACCAAATCAGGTTAGCACTTTCTCTGCAACTTGTAGTCTTAAAGAGTTTTACTGAGAAGTAAAAGGATTTTACTCTAGGGTCACACAGAGGCAGGGGTGGCCTTGAACTAGCTTAAGGACTTTCAAGTTGATTGTTAAATTTTCAATATGACCATCTGTACTTTGAAAATTGGTAAACCCAAGCTCAGATTCTTAAAATCTAGCCACTGCTGGGATTCTTATAATCTAGCAACTGCTTAGATTCTTATAATCTAGCCACGGCTCAGATTCTTAAAATCTAGCTGATGAGGATGGGATCTAGACCCCAGAAAGGAAAAACCCTGGACTTTCCCACATGACCAAATCTCTGGCCTTCACCTGAGGCTATACTCCCATCAACTGGCCTTTCATTGTGGCTACACCCCGTCTCCCCTCCATCGTCTTACCTCCCTATGGCACCTGGCCATTTCCCACCCTTAATCCTAGCTAGGCTCCATTCTCCCTTGGCCATGTGGTCCAGGTCCCAAGAGTTCTGTTCACCCCAGTTTACTGGCCACTCCTAGGTCCCTCCCACAGTCTTTCTGTATATAAGGTCTACCTTGTCTCCATTAAGATGCTCAAATTCTTAAAATCTAGCCACTGCTGAGATTCTTAAAATCTAGCCAATGCTCAGATTCTTAAAATCTAGCCAATGCTCAGATTCTTAAAATCTAGCCACTGCTGGGATTCTTATAATCTAGCCACTGGTCAGATTCTTAAAATCTAGCCAATAGCTTATGTTCAGACTCCTTAAGAGTCTGACCAATATGATGGAGGTTCTAATAAACCTTGTCTTTGGCTGAAAGAAGACTTGGGTCGAATTCTTTCGGGCAGGACTTGCGTTTTGTGATTTTGGGGTCCCAGGACCCCTAAACCCCTGAACTGCATAATTTTGTGGCCCATACGGGGAAACTGCCTAACCCCAAGTTCTTCTCCAGCCAAGACTATGTAAGCCTCTTCTCCCTCCCTTTCTTGTGCTGCAGTTGGGTTGCTCTCCAAGCACCAAGGCCTGGAGGTACTTTTTTGGTAGACAGTTACAAAGCTATCTCAAACTCGGCCTGACACTTTCAGGCTCTCGGACCACTGGGTCGGTTCAAGGCCATGGACCTGGGTACTTCTTCTGCAGCATAGAGGACAAGGATGGACACCCTATCTGGAAGTGTATGATCAATTCTGTTAATTCCCTCAGCACTAGGGAATTGTGGAAAACTGCAGTCACTTTTTGGTTTCCTGAGGCTTACTTACTCCCTTCCCTCTACACCTCTGAATCCTCTTTCATGGAGGTTACGGGGGAAAGTTAGAACAGCTAAAAACATCTTGGCAGATTCTGGAGGTTTTGTGATTGATCATTAAGGAGTTTAGAACTCCTCCTTACCACCGTGGTCACTCTTTTCTCCCACTCCCTTTGCTTGAGTCAAGAGGGTATCTGTTAACCCCTCTCATAGGAGAAGAGAGTTTTCACCCTTTACCCTTCACTTTTGATTTCACCCTCCCCCACCTGGGAAAGGAAGGAGATGGGAGGGGCAGCAGCTACAGCATGGGCCCCACAGGCAATGGCCTTTGGCCCTGGGGCAGCCTTTGCCTGGAAACATCACCCAGGTTCAGCACATCCTGCTCAAGGTAAAGAAGCTGGCCTCTAAACTTGGGTAAGCACACTCCTTTAAATTTGTAGTTTTAACTGTTAATGATGAGATGTTGATTCTCTGTGTAAAGTAATGTGGAAGCGCATTTAACAAAACTGAAGTTACCCTATTGGTAATGGGTTTGTTTCGAGTTTCAGATTGGTGAACTTTCTGTATCAGTTATGTCAAGCAACTTTTCATAATTTGGTTACCGCTAACATAATTTAGCTATTGTGGGTTATTGTTTTAATGTGTAAACTAGCCAAAAAGTTTGTTTGGGTTATGTATGGCTTGCTGAGAATTTTGCAAATGTATAGAAATTTCTAATGATTGGCTTTTTACACCAGGACAAATTTACATTTGAGATGTGAATCCTGGAAAAGTTTTTCCTAAGGTGTGATTAGTAAAACTTGCTGTTGGAGGTAAAAGCTCATTGGATTTTATATTGAGTTGTCTGATGGGTCATAATCCATCGATATTCAGTAATCCACCGTCTGAGAGAAATGCCACAAGTTACTCAGAAAAGGTGATACTGGTGGGTAGTCAGCATCAGGAAAAGCTGAGAGGACAATTTTAGCCTCAGTCTAAGATGGGATCCTCCTGGCTCAGTTCCCCCATTATGTTCCTTTGAAAGGGAATGTTATACACCTGGCTATTCCTGAGTCTGGCTATGAGGTGGATTTGATACTGCATGGCTGGAAATCTGAATCCAAACAGAGCTAAGGATGTTTTATCCTCTCAAAGTTGGGCCTTAAATCTAGTCCCTGCTTTATATCTGGGCCCTGCAGTTTTTTCTGTGGGATTTATGTCTTCCAGACTATGAGCCATTCATCTACAGTTGGTAGCAAACGGCGAGTACCAGTCAATGTCCCCACATCATGCCCTGGATGCAGCCTGTGCTTAGCTCCAGTCAACTTCCTGTTTGGGTCCCCCTTGAGGCAGGGACAGCTCTATGCCCCTTGCCAGCAAGAAGCAGTTTCTGAAGCTGAGACCTTCATTCCTTACTCCAAAAGAATTTGGGTCCCATTTGTTTGAGGGGGAATGATGGGGTTGAGATCTGGGCCCCAGAAAGGAAAAACCCCAGACTTTCCCACATGGTCAAATCTGGCATTCCCCTGAGGCTATAATCTCATCAACTGGACTTTCATTGTGGACCTCCCTATGGCCCCAGGCCATTTCTCCATTCTCCCTTGGCTGCCTGTGATCCAGGTCCCTGGAATTCTATTACCTCCTAGACTACTTGGCCACTCCTAAATCCCTCCCATAGTCTTTCTATATATAAGGTCCATCTTGCCTCCATTTAGATGCTCAGATTCTTAAAATCTAGCGACTGCTTAAATTCTTAAAATCCAACCATGGTTCAGAGTCTTATAATCTAGCCACAGGCTCAGATTCTTAAAATCTTGCCACTGCTTACTCATGTTCAGACTCTTTAAGAGTCTGCCCAATATGATGGATGTTCTAATAAACCTTGTCTTTAGCTGAAAGAAGGCTTGGGTCGAATTCTTTTGGGCAGGACCCGAGTGTTGTGATTTTGGGATTCCAGCACTCCTGAACTCCTAAACCGCATCATGGTGACATATTTAGTTTCTTTTTTTTTTTTAATAATTATTTACTTAAGGAGTGGCGTCGCCTCCACGAGGATGCGGTGAGGGAGGCCACGGCTACCGCGGGAGGGGACCGAGGCAACGGGAGCGGAGGCAGCCAAGCGGGGCTCGGTATGGTGCCCCGGACCGAGGGCGGTCTGGTGGCCGACGTGGTCTTCGTCATCGAGGGCATGGCCAACCTGGGACCCTACTTCGAGGGGCTGTGGAAGCACTACCTGCTGCCGGCCATCAAGTACTTCGATGGGGGCCCCCCAGCCGAGACCGACTTTGGAGGAGACTACGGGGGCACCCAGTACAGCCTGGTGGTGTTCAACACCGTGGGCTGCGCTCCTGAGTCCTACATCCAGTGCCACGCGCCCACCAGCAGCGCTTATCAGTTTGTCACGTGGCTGGACAGCATCCAGTTCATGGGTGGGGGCGGCGAGAGCTGCAGCCTCATCGCAGAGGGGCTGAGCACGGCCCTGCAGCTCTTCGATGACTTCAAGAAGATGCGGAAACAGATCGGCCAGACGCACCAGGTCTGCCTTCTCATCTGCAACTCGCCCCGGTACCTGCTGTGGGCCGTGGAGAGCTCCACGTACTCTAGCTACCCCACCGAGAGCCTTGTGCAGAAGATCAGGGAGCGAGGCATCCACTTCTCCATCGTGTCCCCGAGGAAGCTGCCAGCCCTGCGGCTCTTGTTTGAGAAGGCGGCTCCCCTTGCGAAGCTGGAGACGCAGCCGGCAGACGTGAGCCAGGACCCGCGGCACATGGTGCTGGTGCGAGGCCTCGTGCGGCCTGTCGGTGGAGGTTCTGACCCAGGCCCCCTCCAGCCCAAGCAGCCCGTGCCACTGCCTCTGGCACCACCCCCTGGGACCTCCCTGTCGGCAGCGCCCCCCCCAGCCCCTGCCCCCCCCTACGTCTCCCAGCCTTACCAGGTGTCCAGTAACCTCAGTGCCACCCAGGTGGCTCCTCAGAATGCGGTGGATGCTGCCAAGAACCAGAAGGCAGGACTGGGCCCACACTTCTCGCCCATCAACCCTCTGCAGGCAGTGGCCCCAGGAAAGGTGCCCCGCCCCCGTTCAGCCAGGCCCCAGGCCCGCCGCTTCCTCCTGGGCCCCCTGGGGCTCCCAAGCTGCTTCCTGCCTCCCAGCCCAGCCTGGTGGCAGCAGTCGCCCCCGGGCCTGGGCTGGCCCCTCCTTCCCAGCCTGGAGGGCCCCCCATGGCTGGCCCCGTGGCTGCAGCGGGGGTGAGTGACACAAGCCCTGATCAGTTGGGAGGCCCCGCACTCGGGGCTGGGCAGCAGTCAGTCACTAACAAAGTCCTGGCATGGAGTGGTGTCCTTGAGTGGCAGGAGAAGCCCAAACCAGCCTCAGTGGGTGCCAACACGAAGCTGATGGTCGCTGCCCTGCCAGGTCTATGTGAACAAGGGAGAGAACCTGAAGACTGAACAGTGGCCCCAGAAGCTGATCATGCAGCTTATCCCACAGCAGCTGCTGACCACATTGGGTCCCCTCTTCAGGAACTCCAGAATGGTCCAGTTTCATTTTACCAACAAGGATCTGGAATCTCTCAAAGGCCGTTACCATATCATGGGCAATGGCTTTGCTGGCTGCGTCCACTCCCACCACACTGCATCATGTGAGGTGTGTGTCCTCATGCTCCTCTACTCCTCCAAGAAGAAGATCTTCATGGAGCTGATCCCCAAGGACCAGAGCGGCTTCGTCAATGGCATCTGCCAGGTCATCATCAACCACAAGCAGCCCCAGGCTGGGGGTCCGCCACCCCAGGTCTCCCTCCACCACCTGCAGCCTCCAGGAGCCCAAGCCTGTTGCCTCCCCCACACCAGGGCTTGGGCCAGCCACCCTTGGGCCCAACTTTGCTGCACCCCCCACCTGCTCAGCCTTGGCCTGGACAGCTTCCCCCCACGGGCCCCTCTGCCAGGTCAGATGCTTTTGAGTGGAGGGCCCAGGGGTCCAGTGCCCCAGCCTGGTCTGTAGCCCCCAGTGTCATGGAGGAGGACATTCTAATGGACCTCATCTGAGATGGGCCCCCAACCTAATAAAGCTTCCTCATTCCCCCCACAAAAAAATTTATTTGCTTAAATGTGTTTTGCACAAGTATAAACATTTGTAATAGGTTTTGTTTTTCCTGCCTTCTCATTGGGTAGGGAGAAAATTCGAAACTGAAAAAAATAAAGAATAAAAAAGTCTCTGTGCTTAAAAAAAATTGGTAAACCCCACAAATCAGGGCTTAATTTATTGTTATCTTGACTATATAGAATTAGTAAAGTGATGGAGAAAATGTTCATAATGGAGATTAAACTTGGAATTATGACATGTGGACATTTTCTTTATCAGAGAGCTACTTGTGGAATATTTACCAGCACATTCCTGGTTAGAGGAAAGACTTGAACCTAAATCTTCCTAACTCCAAGACTCACTCTCTGTTAGTCATGACATAATGATTCAGTGCAAAAGCAAAAAAAAAAGCCAAGGCAGCTAGGTGGGGCACAGTGGATGAAGCACCAGACCTGGAGTCAGGAAGACCTGATTTCAAATCCAGTCTAACCCTGGGCAAGTCACTTAACCCTGTTTGCCTCAGTTTCCTCATTGTAAAATGAGTTGGAGAAAGAAAAGGCAAACCACTCCAGTATTCTTGTCAAGAAAACCCCAAATGGAGTCATGAAGAGTTGGACAGGACTAAAAATGACTGAACAATCAAAAATATTTTTTTAAAGAAAAGAAATAAGGTTAGAAAAAGATTTTCTTTCTGTTTTCTATATATTTACAAAAGGAGATCATTCTGCACTCTTTTAAACACTGACAGGCTAATAATGTTCTTTCTCTTAAACTAAAACAGAGACAGACTCACTCATCTTCTGGCCTTGTACTGGGTCAATGTGACAAACTACCTCTTTGGGGAAATAGATATACAATCATTTGTTGGCTTTGTACTGGGCCAATGGGACAAAATACTGCTTTTGGGAAATAGATCTACAACCATCATTTGGCCAGTTTTTGAAAAAGAAATATCAATGGGTGGAGGAGATGTGGTTTAATAGCAAATTATTTGAAAAATAATGATGCATTATACTATATTGTCTCTAAGGTCCCTTTCAGCTCTGGCATTCTATGACCTACCTGGGGATTTAACATACAAGTCCCAGTAACATACAGCTACTCTTTATAAGCACATGGGGGAGAAGAATCTAGATGTGAAAGCAGAGGTTATAGCTGGGCATGGGATAGGGAGCACAGTCCCTCATTAGCCAGCATACAGCTTTGCCATGAAAGAAAGGCCTGCTATTGTAGGATGAAAGGAACCTCTAATTTGCAGCCTGACAGCCCAAATTTCATTACATATAATGTTAATTCTTTGTATTCTAAATAAATATATTTTCATAATGTTAAGAAAAAAATCCTCCCAATTCCTATTTTTCATAATTTCACAGTTCTTAATATAAATGAATTTTACATATTATAAAAGACCCATTCTATATCTATTGAAATAATTATAATTTCTATGTTTTCATACATATAATTTATGATAATTGTTTTCCTAATATTTGATATTAGGTTCATACCTAATATATATAATCATATGAATATATATTCATGAACTAATATGAACCATTCTGGAGAGCAACTTGGAACTACACCCAGAGGGCAATCACACTGTGCATACCCTAAAGAGATAATAAAAAATGGAAAAAGACCTACATATACAAAAATATTTGTAGCAGCTCTTTTGTGGTGGCAAAGAATTGGAAATGGAAGGGATGTTCATCAATTGGGGAATAGCTGAAAAAATTATGGCATATGAATGTAATGGAATACTATTGTGCTATAAGAAATGATGAGCAGGCAAATTTCAGAAAAACCTGGAAAGACTTACATGAACTGATGCAAAGTGAAGTGAACAGAACTAGGAGAACATTGTACACAGTAATAGCAACATTTTGCAGTGATCAATTATGATCAACTTAGCTCTTCCCAGCAATACAATGATCCAAGACAATTCTAAAAAACTCACAATGGAAAATGCTATCTACATCCAGAGGAAGAACTGATGGAGTCTGAATGCAAACCAAAGCATACTGTTTTCACTTTCTTTATTTTTCATTTTGCAAACTGTAATTGTTTTGCAAACTATTTCTTCTTTCACAGTATGGAAATAGGTTTTACAACATTGTGCATATATAATCTATATCAAATTGCTTTTTGGGGGAGAAGGGACAGAAGGAGAAAATTTAGAACTCAAAATTTTATAAAAAATGAATGTTAAAAATTATCTTTACATGTAATTGGAAAAAATAAGATGCTATTTAAAAAGTAATTTTTTCAACCTTTAAAATATGTAAACTGTATAATAGCATAAGCAAAAATAACACTAAAAGGCAGCTGAACTCTGATTAATAATAATGCCTAATCTTCGTCAAGGAGAACAGACAATGAATCATATTTCCTTATTCTATAGTGTATTTCCTTATCTATGGGTACAGAATGCAGATTTTGCTACCAGATGATATTGCTATATTAAAGCTGTATTGATAGGTTTTCTTCTTAACTTCCCTATTACTATTGGGGATAGCACCAACCTCCACATCATCCAGGTTAAAAATACTGGTGTTATCTTAAACTCACTCTTATTCACTTGACATTCTTAATCATTTCCCAAGTCTTGCTATTTCTGTCTCCACAAGGGCCTACACAGGTCTCTTTCTCCCTACTCACAAAGCTACCCCAGTTATTCAGTCCCTCATCACATCTCACTTGGACTATTACAATAAGCAATATTTAGACTCGGCATAGAATAGTGGATAGAGTGCTGGACTGAACGAGGAGTCAGGAAAACCTGAGTTAAAATTCTGCTTCAGACTCTTTTACTAGCTGTGTAACCTTGAACATATCATTTAAGTTGTCTTCGACTCAATTTCTTCATCTGTAGAATGACAGGATTGGGTCTGATGATCTCTAAGGTCCCTTCCAGCTCTAAATCTAAGATTCTATGACCTACCTGCTCCACTTCAATCCTCTCCTCTCTCCAAACTGTCCTTCACACAGCTATGAAAGTAATTACCCTAAAGAAAAAACAGTACCTGCCCTCAAGGAGTTTACAGTCTAATTAGGGAGATAACATATAAATAATTAGGTACGTATAATGTGTGTACACATACACACACACACAATGTGCCCAGAGTAGATAGAAATTAATCTCAGAGGAGAAAGACAAGCAGCTAGGGTGGTAGGAGGGGAAACTGGAAAAGGCCTCCTGAAATAGGCAGAATTTAAGCTGATTCTTAAAGGAAGACAGAGCTGAGGAGAGAAATCATGTTATCCCCCTGCTTATCAACTGCTGCACTCCCCATTGCTTCAAGCATCAAATATACCTCCACTTGGCACTTAAAGCCTTTCAAAATATTGCTTCTTTCTACCTTTCCAGTCTTTTTTAGACATTGGTCCCCTCCCTTACCCTCACTCTGTGATCCAGCCATACTGACCTATTCCCCATACCTGGAACTCTATCTCCCATCTCAGCATATTCACCGTGTCTCTCGTGGCAGGAAGGAACTCCTTCCTCACCTCTGTTTCTTGGAATCCCTGGCTTCCTTCAAGAATCATCTCAAATGCTAACTTCTACATGAAAGCTGTCCTCATCCCACCCTCTCTCCCTCCACCAGCTAGCGCGCTCCCTCTCATAACTACCTTCTGTTAAGCATATAGTTTATACTTTCATAGAATATACTCTTGGGTGACTATCCCAATTCACACTCACACTGGCAAGTCAGGTCCCCAGAGGGCTGATAAGGTTCATTTCTCTTCAGGGCTTTAGGGATAGTCCTGAAGGGGTGGGGGTGGGTATCTTTTTTAATGCTATACCTCACAAATCCCTACTGGGGAGCTTCTTTCCATGATTATCAATTGTTATTAATTATTCAGTCATACAATTAGCATTTAGAAAGGAGTATTAACTAAGGTAGTATGATGGGTACAATTGATACAAAACACTCCCCCAAAAGTCTGAAACACACTGTCCCACAAAGACATAAAGAACTTAGAAAGCATGTGTCAAAACAGTAACTCACATTCCCTCAAAGTCCTTTTCTGTGATTCTCCAGATGTTACTCTTTGGTATTGTCTAGCTTTTCTCCTAGGCTCTTTGTAGAGCCTTTAATCTTTAGCAAGTCTGTACTTAGCTCCCAGTGTAGATGCTGCCATTGCTAGGACACCAAATCCTCAGGTCCTCCAAATGACCACAAGGTCCTTCTCTGTAGCCAAGATTGAGTAAAGGAAGAGGCAGGAGATCTGACCCAGTCCAAGACTCTGTTCCTCCTTCCTTCCCAATTGATTTAATTCAATTAGATAAACATTTATTGAGTGCCTACCATGTGTCAGACACTGTGCTAAACTGGGGATACAATTAAGAAAAAGAAAGACAGTCTCTGCCCTCAAGAAGCTTGTAATCTAATGGAGAAGACAACATACAAAAGGAAACGAAAAAACAATGGGGGAGGGAAGAGGGGGGAGCCCAGGATGGGGGCATGTTGTCTAAACCAGACTGAACTGGTGATGGATAATGGAGAGTTACCTAGAAAGTTCTGAAAGTTCAGAGCCCTCTATAAAGGAAAGCACTGGAAGAGTTTACTATTCCATCCTTTAGCCCTCCAATCAGAAAGGAAAGGCAACTGAGATGCTGAGTATAAAAACTGATTTCACTCCTTCTCAAGAGGTTGGTTGAATCTCTTGGGCCTGAACTGACTCACTATTTTATTGACAACCCACAGGGCAAGACCAAATTTCCTCAGTCATTATGAATACTGCCTGTTAATACTCATTCTATTTCTCCCAAGGACTTTCTGAACTTAATCTAAATTCTTTGAAAGGTAGTATTTAGTATTATTATCCAAAACTTTAATTTGTTTGATTTAATCAAGGTCCAGTCTTACCTGATAAATGTGTCAGGGTTAAATAGGGTAGGTGATTTTGACCCTGGCCTT